TACTCCTGGAGTTCTTGCTGCAGCTCTTTTTCCCAGTCTGCTGCCTCATCTGGATGGGAAGCAATAATCAGAACAGTTTGGAATTCACAGTGAAACTTGTTTCATTCAGCGTGAAAAAAACAAAACAAAAAAATTGACAACAAAGGAGCACTGAGGAGGCTGACCGTCTGGAGACGGGACGCTGTCCTTCTTGTCCAGCACCAGCTGCTCCATCTCTTTCCTCAGGTCCTCATGATTGATCGCCGTCGAGTCGAAAGCGTCGCTCACAAACTCCGAGACTCCAGGACTTGTTGAAATCTCTTCCTCCTCCTCGTGGGGTGCCTGAAGTTTGAGTAAGCAGGCAGGTTAAAGTTAAGTGACTGGCTTTCCTCTTTTTTAAACATGACATCATAAAAAACATTATTCAGGGTCATGTTATTTTTTTTTTACCTTCTGTATGTCGCTGATGGAAACTGGTGGAGTTTTTGGTCTAACGTCTGCAAAGAACCAACATCATGTTTAAGTTTCCAGTTCATGAACTTTAAAGTCATCTGCCTCTGAGGGACAGGGAGCAGGGCTGATGTGGACTGTTGTTAATAGGCAATATTTTACAATGCTGCTTTTAACGCCACTAAGATTCAAAATCATTTTAACAAGAGACAGATTTTTTTTCTTCACAAAAAGTCAAAACTTATCTACATAAAATCATAAACAGGTCTCAGTCTAATGGTTTCCAATATAAAATATAAACTAGAGCTAGTCGATATCAAAAATAAATCTAATTTTGATGATTATGGCAACACTGGTCAACAGACCAAAAATTGTCTGTGGTTTTTCAACTGTGTTAGCGTCATTCTGATGAGCTGAATCCAAAAATCACATTGGTTTTGCTCAATCAGGTCAACTTAATGAACTATGGAGCAACATGAGCATCAAAATGCATGACTTGTTCTCACATCTGGATCAGTTTCCCTTATCAGGGTTTATTATTTGATTTATAGAAATCTTCCAGTTTGTAACATTAAATTAATACACTCTGTTAGAAAACATTCTTTCTTCTTCTAAAATCTTTTTTGGGTGAGCAAAATTAACAGAAATGAACTGATAATGTCACAAAAAAAAGTCACCAATTTAGTCAGAAGATCAAATTGCTTTAAATCAAATTAGAATAAAAACCTGACCTGATTGAGAAAAAAGGATGTGATAATGCAGCTGAAAAAATGTAGACAACTTTCAAAAAATATATTTTTCTAATCCATTGTAATGATATGATATTTATTGATCCACATTTTTATAAAGAATTTTGATGTGTGGCATTTGAAACATAATATTTAACCAAATATCGCATGTAAAAAAACCTTGTGCTATTGCAAAACTGCACACATTGATTCTGTGATGAGTACAAATGAATACATTGTGCTTTATTATTATTATTATTTAAAATATAAAAACTAAACTTTAAGATGAATTCCTGCCAGATGTTTCGGCAGTAATCAGGTTGATGATATGCAACTTGCAAAACCCACAAACTAGGGAAAGACAAATTTAGGATAATTTTCCCAAATTTTTCACATTTATCCAGAAATACTTCTTTTGTTTGAAAGAATTTTCCAGACCACTTTGTAACTCTGTTTCTGCTTCAGCAAATTTTTAAGTCACGAAAACTAAAGCGGGACCTTTTAAGACGATGTCGTCAGGTGAAACGCTGTCCCCGCCCTCCCCGCTGTCCTTCTGCTGCTGCTGCTGCTGCTGGTGGGCTGCCAGCGCTGTGAGCTGAGCCGACTGCTTGATCAGAGACACCCTGTAGAAGTAATTCCTCCAAAACACGTCCTCCTTCACCCTGCAAGAACACAAACCCATGACAGCATTTGGACACTTTCGCATATTGTGACAATCAAGGAGCAAATTATTAGTAGTTTCGAGACAATCAGGCATGACACAAAGAAGTGAAGGAGCCCTTACTGTTTAGGAACCAGGTCGAAGCGCATGCGGTTGAGAAGCTGGTCTTCCTCCAGCATGACGGCCGCCAGAGGGTACATGTGCTCCATGTCGAAGTGGAACTGGACACCAGCCGGAGGGTCCCGCAGGAAGTTCCGCTTATCCTGGAACCAGATGACCCGGAGGTGAAAGATCAGAACATAATGGACTGATAGACCCACCATCTCCCGCGGCATTAGGAATCACGCATGCTGATATATTGTGAGTGGTATACAATGCCTCACCGCTAACAAACTTGTTAACTTGCTAAATAATTAAGCGCGAAATTCAAACATGCAAATTTAGTGTTTATCAGCCAATGTTACTTTAGAACAGTTAAAATTATACACTCTGCATTTCAAAGTCCAAGTAGTTTTTTTGTTGTTATCATTTTCTACTCCTGTTGGGTTCAAATCAACAGCTATAATAACATTGGTACATTGTAAGCTTATTACAAATAATGCTAATGATAGTACTTTTTTTTTTGGCACATAGAGTAGAATTTTCTTACAGCGGACAGAGCCAGGATCTGCTGCTGGATGGTCTCCTCCTCATTGTAGCCCACCCAGGGAGGCACTGCTGCTTCTACACAAACATCAGCCAACGGACACAGTATTATCAGTATAATACCAAGTGATACCGGCCATTCAGACAAGGCAGCATCTCTGCTATCTAATCATTATATCATGTATCATGTATCATATCATGTATTATGTAGGTTAAAAACCAGACATTTTACCAACAGATTAAAAAATGGCTGAAGAGACATCTGAGAACAATTGTTGATGTTTCTACACATCCCAGCTGGTAGGGGCACACCGCACTCTTCAGATTTGTATTAGAAGAACATTTTGAAATCCCTGTGCGTTATTTTCTTTCCATTTTAAAAAACCTTAAACTTTGCGTTGCTCCTTATAATAAAATCAAATCCACTGGAGAAGATGGAGTAGTGACTGCATGTGGTCTTTGATGTAGGTTTGCTGCCATAAACTCAGAGGTCTTTCTTTCACCTGACTTTTTGGCCTTCTTCTCTTGGACAAACTTCTCCTGCTCCTTATGGAAATCTCCCAGAATAGTCTGCAAGAAAACACACACACACACACATGCACACACAGTTTACAATACACTCAGCAGAAGACCAATCAACTGGCCTTATCTGTCTTAACAGAACAAATGATAAGTCAAACACTGCCCTTGAAATAAAACAAATTCAACCATCTGTGAATAAATGTTTCCTAAAAGTCCCATTAGCCAAAAAGAGCAAAGTGCCTTATCTATGATGCCATCGATCTTCCCTTCTTCCACCGTCTTCTTGATGGTCTGAGCGGTCCCCACCACAGAGTCTGACAACTTCTTGGTGGCACTGGAGGCGAAACTGAAGATGAACTCTTCAAGTGGTGGAAGCAGAACGGAGAACAGAAGTGTTACACAACCTGTGGCAGACTGATACGGTTTTTCCAAAACACTCAGAAGTTTACATCCACTCTTTATGGCCAACACAGGTTGTTAATATTAAGTTTTAATGTTTTATTTGAACTGTCCTTTCTGTGTTGCTGTGGTCTTTTGGCTGTGTGACCATTTCACTCTTGGTTTTTAACCAGAGGCTCCTATACCTCCCTGTCACTATTGTTCCCTTTCTCCTGCACTGTTCCTTTAAATAAGTTTGATTGGGATAATTATTTTAACGCTCCTTCATTCCATTCTCTGACCACAATAATACTGTTCCATTTAGTTTGTTTGTTTCAGCTCAACTACGACTGGTAGGAAAAGGCCCCCAAACTCAAAAGATAAATTAGGGATAATCAATAACATATTTCTTTTTTTTTTAAATAACAGTTTTACAAACTGAATATAATATTTTAGCTCCAAAAAGCTGTTACCTTGCATACCTGCATATATACAATCAACTGAAAGGTGAGGCAATAAATACCTTCAAGTTTTCTCATGCTGCTGTCTTCAAACTGGTTTGCCTGCTCCCAGTGACACTGGTGTCCCACCAGTTTGCAGTTTATGGTGAGTTATTTATAAGCAGCTTCAACAAATTTCCTTGATTCTACGGGTGTTTTTATCAAATGACAGTAGAATAATTTTGAAGGATTGTTTACCTGGATTTGATTAATGGGTCAGCCTGGACTTGGCATTTCTTCTTAAGAATAACTCCAATCGACTTTTACAGTTTTTATAAACCTGCAATTTACCCGAGATATGTTTTGATTTGAGAAAATCCTCAAGAGATTAAAATGTGAGGGACTAAAACGGTTGAAACTGCACGTTAATTGCGCCACCTTAGAAAAATAGATCAAACCAATCCTTTAGAGCCCAAAATAAACAAAACTTCAATCTTTCATGACCATTAGGAGTGGATCAAACAAACCTCTGACCGCAGCTAGTTACGATCATTCAGAAGAAAATAGTAACATCTGGCCCTCACCACCGAGTCCTTTGCTGTGATCAGGGGTTTCTTCTTTCGTATCCGTTGCCCCATCATCCTGCTCATCTGCTTGCTGTTTGTTTACCTCGTTTTGGGCTTCAACCACCTTCTCTTCCTGCTCCACACACAGGCTTTCCTTCTCCTCTGACGTCTTCTCCAAACCCAGCCACGTCCCGAACCCTTTGAACATACTGGTCCGAGGGAGAAAACGAACTGATAAAAGAGAAATGACAGACAGAAACTGACTGCGAACTCAAACAAATGTAAAAATGTTTTTAATGCAATCAGGAACTAGAAACTTCTTCGTCTCTCTTTCTGCGGTGCTCGCTCGATGCTGCCACTCAATGGCCACAAGGCTGTAATACGTTTGTTGACTCAATGATTTCTTTACAACAAGCATAGCAGAATTAAAAGAAATCAAAAAGGTTAATTTACCTTAGTAAAAAAAAAAAAAAAAAAAATATATATATATATATATATATATATATATATATATATATATATATATATATATATATATATATATATATATATATATATATATATATATTATCTAATAACGTGGCATTCTGAAGAATACCACGTCATACCTAAATACCGCCAGAAGGGGGCGGTATTTAGCAGAAAACAGGTAAACGTCCGCACCGCGCGAGCTTCGACTACGAATACGGCTTCGACTGCTTGATGACAGGAAGAGTACGGGTTAGTTTCGTTCTCATTTTACTTGTTTAAGTTGAAGTTTGTGTAAATTGAGTCAAAATACTGCGTAGTGCAGTTTATATATGCCTCGTTGTGTTTGCTAAAATCAAGTGAAAGTGCGGACACGGGAATTTACCAGGTTTACTTGAAAGAAAACAAGGTTGCGCCAGACGTCCGTTAAATACCTGGTCATTTTAAAGACAGAACACTCAAACGGAACTTCCACCCACATATACAAAATACAAACAAGAAAAAATGATTAGTTTAAAGCTGGTTTTCCGATCGGCCTGATAGATTCGATGTTTCATGGAGACCATTCCCTTGTGTTTTATCGAGTCATTCAATATTGATTTGATTTGGAAAAACTAACGTGACCCAGTAATAAACATGCAACGAACATGTTGATCTTGAAGTTAATGAATTTTTCTTCTTCCGAGGCAGGCTGTTGGAAAGTGCGGCTAGAAATGAAGATCCTGGTGGTGTTTGATTTTGACCACACTGTGGTGGACGATAACTGTGATATCTGGGTCATCAAGTACGTATTAAAAGTTTTGTTATATGTCAGAGGATACAAAGAAACTGGGTATTTTATAAGCATTCTAAGTGTCAGTTTATTAACTGGTGATCTTTGTTTTTCCTGCTTTAAGGTGTCTTCCGGAGCAGACTCTCCCAGACTCTGTGCAGAGCACATACAGGAGGGGCCAGTGGACTGAGTACATGGGCAAAGTGATGGCCTACATAGGTTATTACATTGTTTTTCTTATGTTTTAGTTTGTTCTCCTTTGTGCTCAGTGAGTCCTCCACAGAGGTGGTTCAACAAACTGAGTCGATCCATGAACTCTACATTAACTTAAAAGTTAACTTACCCCAAGCAAAAGTTTCTAGTTCCATAACAATTTAGATATTGTAGAACCAATCAGAGCCAGGAGAAGGATGTTGGTGCCTTCAATCAAGCACATGTTTGTGCCACTATGGCAACCGCTTTTCCCCATCGCCAGAGCATGTGGTGAATGCTAAGGCTAGTTAGCATAGTCACAGTGGCCTCCTCCTGGCTCTGTTTTTAGTTGGGAGCGGTGTATTTCTTCAGACAGCAGCTCAGGTGGGATGTGGAGGAGATTGAGCTTTTCACAGATTACCTGTCTCATAACAAACTGTAATGACATGGTGACAGTTTTAACAAAAAAAAATGTTTTATGAAAGTTAGTTAACGGAGTTTTTAATGTGACCTGTACCCCAGTTTTCCATTCTGATCATTTCTGTCTTTGGTTCTAACAGGAGAGCAGGGGGTCGCCCCCGACCGGATCCGCAGCGTCATGCAGACCATTCCCTTCACACCCGGCATGCTGGAGCTGCTCACATTCATATCAGAGAATAAAAGCACGGTGGACTGCATTATCGTCTCCGACGCCAACACCATGTTCATCGAATGGGTCCTCCAGGGGGCGGGACTCCGGGAAGCTGTGGATCAGGTGTACTCCAACCCAGCCAGCATCAGCGAGTCTGGCCGCATGGAACTGCAGCACCACCACTCGCACGAGTGCGCCAAGTGCCCCGTCAACATGTGCAAGAAGAAAGTCCTGGAGACATACCTTTCCGGGAAGGCAGACGGCGGCGAGGTGTACGGGAGGGTGTTTTACGTGGGGGACGGCGGGAACGACCTCTGCCCCGCGTTCTGTCTGAGTGCGCGTGATGCTGTGATGCCCAGCATCACAGCATTTTTGTTGATGATTTTGTTGTGTTTTGGGCTTTATTTGCTCATTATTTATTGTTTTTGGTTGTCGGGTTTTATTTTGGATATTTAAGATGTCTTCCAGTTCCAGGGTGAAGTATTTTGTGCAAAATGAAAGTTTACTAGTCTTTCAGAGGGCAAACTTGCATTATTATGGGATTACCAATATATTAGTTGAAAATGGTCTCAAATAACTTTTAGGCCAATTTATTATCCAGAAAATTTTGTGAACAACTATGTCATTTTAAAGAAAAAAAAAGATAGCTAAGTTAGCATTAAGAATCAGACCACCCCATACCTCCAACTATATGTTTGTGCCACACACTATCTTTTATGTTCTATATTCACCTCATTATGTTCCCATCTGATTACAGGTGGCTAAACCTGGCCATGTGTTAGCCTCATGAAAATATTTGCATTTGTGGGATGTAAGATATTTGTGAGTTAAATGAATTTGTCTTATGATTTATATGTCAGTTATTTGAAATTTTGGAAAATCTAGTCAGAAATCCTGACTAGTTGTTTTGGTCTGAGAGAAGCTTTGGAACCAGCTTTTTGAAAAATGTGGTTTATGTAGTCTCCATGGATACATGATTAAATAACAACACTCAACTTATAAAAAATATTGAAAATGCAATCAATGTCCGCCTATTAATCTTACAAAGTCACTAAATTATTTAGTGTATTGTAACTACTCAAGACCAGAAAAACAGTGTTTTGCTCCATTGCATTTTAGTGATGTATCATTTTCAGAAGTCACTTGAATGTTAACAGTGAATGTCAAAATTCATTAGAAAAATTATTCCCAGTTTGAGTCAGTCCAGTTGGGATTCGTTTCTTTGTCAACATTTTTTTTTTAATTACAGAAAATTAAACTGGTTGTGGTTTAAAATTTTATTTCTGGTTGAGAAGATCTGTTTTGTTTTGTTTTGTATAAAAATTTGAAAAAAAAAATTGTCAGTTGCTGATCCACTTTTCAGAAAATGTCTCAAAAACACATTTGGTCTCCTTGGATACGTTGCTTGTTATCAAACTTTAATACTTGAAAAATATATCTTAGTATTTGTATTATTACTAAATATTTTAGTTTATATTGAAATCCATTACAGCTTACTTTTATTTTTCTAAGACATAGGAGACTTGAATAATTAGTTATTTACACAACGCTGTCTTGGTGAGTTTTATATTTGCATCTGTTGTATTACAGTGAATCTGAAGAATCCTCTGAGTGACGATGGATGGTCAGGGTTGTCCATATTTATTGCATTTGGAGTATTCAAATGAACATTCATCTGAGTTTATTGCTGGGTTGCGTGCAGCCCTGATCTTCAGACTGATTAAATGAATTTCATAACACTACCACTATGAGTTTTATTGATGTGCATTTCTACTGTTGGCTGCATGTGGGAGTAAGAAGGTATTTATTCATACCAAAGGATTCACTGATGGTGTCAGAGCAGCTTTGTGATTCTGAAAAATTGTGGAGCCCAAAGGAATTTTAATTTGATTGACCACGAGTGGAAACACATCTTTAAACATCTGTAGTACTTTTTAAGTGTTAAAGTTATGTAAGCAACAATTTAAGTTCAATCGTACTGAATGGATTATTTAACTCTAATAAAGATAAAACGTTCCTGTTCAGCAGCATCAGTTGTTATAGAAGGGTGAATGACTTGTAGTTTTTTACTTTATGCGCACTATTGGTACAATCTAAGATTAAACTCCTCAATGCAGCCTATAGCCCTTCAATTTATGTTTCCAGATGTTTAAGAGTTTATGATTAGGAATGAATTAGTCAAAATTTTAAAAAATAAAAGGAAAAACTTTAGACTTTTGGAGTTTTTTCCAGCAAATTTGGACTTTTCAAAATCAGACATTTTTCCAGTTGTTTTTTTTTTATCTAGAACATTTCTGGGATGAATTTCAAAACCAAAAAATATTTAGATTAATTTTAAAACTACTGATTTTTCAAACTATTTTTCAACTTTTCAAACTCCGAAATGTTTTTTTGGTTCAAGAAAATTAATGAAGTTAATCTAAAAATTTCAGTGTTTTTGTTTTTTTTTTCTTGCCAGAAATGTACTCCTCCTTTTTCTTGTCTTTATCTCTGATGACCCGAATGCAGCGCAATGACAACAGGTGAAAACAGACTTCACTCCTGGGACAAAAGGTTTGCCTGCTGGTTCCCACCCTGCCCGTGTTCGCTGCATCTGCCCTCCAGGCCTTTGCAAACACTGCAGCTCATTTACTCCAGAACACACTGTGAAGGTACAAACTTTAAGTGCAAATCCTAAAATTCACTGTAGTGGAAACAGTGCTGAAATATTAATAAAAAATGTCATGGTCGATTTTGACTTACTAACATCACCTGAGGTGATATTAATAATTTTCCCATATGTGTGCAGTTTGTGTTGCAGCGTCAGTTATTAAAAAAGAAAAAAAAAAAAAGCTGATCTAGCAGGAAAATTCAGCTAAATGATTTAACAGCACAAATAATGTAAGCTGAAGACTTTTATTATTACAAGCATCCATTTGTTTTAACCAGTGGTATATCAAATACTTATTTCCCCCACTGTATCTGTACATATACCACACATTTTTATTTCTGATTTCTATTAATAAACGTTGCAGATTTGCCTGTGCTTTCAGCATTTAAAAATAAATAGGTGGGGTCACTTCAAAACCAGTAACATCAGCAGCCACATTGATTCCTGCCTGTGTGGAACATTGCTATAATTCACCCCCCATCTGTTTAGTGAAGGACATGCTGCTAATTTAAGAATTTAGTGGCTTTAAAAGCCGCCATTTAGGCAAGCAACTTTGGTTCATGTTCTGGGCGCGCATATTACGAAGCCTTAAGGGAGACACTTGAGGAGATGGGTGAGGAGTAGGAGGGATTTTTTTTTTTTGCTAAATTAAGAAACCGAAACATAAATCCTTTAAAATCCAGCATGGAGCAAGACGCGCCTCTCTGTGTAATCAGTTTTTAATAGTCATCAAGGGAGCTACTCTCCTCTCCATCGTCCCCTATGGTGAAATTATATGTGGATGAACCAACGACTGCTTGGTTGATTTCTGCAGCACTGCAGGGAATTGGAAATCTCCCGGCTAGCGAGAGGCTCAGGAGACTAAATGGAAGTGCTGCTCTGTTTCTTTTGTATGAAGGAAGAGGAGAACCACAGCCACGTGAAAAAGCAGCTCGGTTCATGTACGCTTGTGGCCCTCAACCCCAACTTCAGTTCAAAAATGATACAAATTTGGCTCTTTCAGCGCAAGGTGGCTGATGCAGACTTTTATTATTTTGGAATCAGCGTCAAATGTTCTCCAATGTAATTTTCTGACGAGTTTTCTAAAGGCAACACAAAGTATTTGTCTCTTTTAAACGTCCTTTTACAAAGTGTAGGACGTCGTCTATCCTGATTCTTTCACTGATGTGCCCTAATCAGATTTTCTTTTTTATTAAACTTGGCCACTTAAAGCATGCACTTTGAAACAAAGTGACCCAAATCCTGTTCTAATTACTGAAAATACAGTTGTTCAATCAAACCCAAAAAATACTGATTACTAGACGCCTCACTTTTAATATAGCAAATACACAACAAATAACAGCAACAATAGAATACTTCATTTGCTTGAGTTTGTCTTATTTCTTTTTGGTCAGCAACTGCTTTAGACTCGACAGTTTCAACTCACGTGAGGAACAGATTGGACAACAATGTTACAGCAAAAATAAAACTTTAAAAAATGTGCAACTTTGGCTACAACCTTTTGAAAAACAATCACAAAAAAGCATTTACTTTTTAGTTCTTTTTTGGATAGATCTAATAAATCTCAGATCTCATAAATTGTCCAATGAGGAGATCTTCTCCTGGTGAGGATTTGAGTTTTCTTTGCGTTTATTTTAGGTTTCTGTGTTGTTCTACCCGTTGATAGTTCTCAGCTGTGTCTCGTTTTGTTTCCCTATGTGTATTTAATCCCACCTGGTCTTTGGGTCCTTGTCTATCTCTCTAGTGCTCTGAATATGTCTTGTCAAGCTGTCCAGTCTAGTCTGCCTTCAGTTATTCATTTGTACCAGTTGCTACCAGTTGTGAGCATTAGCCTTCTGCTCATTCTGTGCTGCCTGGACTTTGGACTTGGTATTTCTGACAATTTCATTGTATTCATAATTCATTCTTCATCTCAACCTGGGCCCACAGAGCCTTCCTCACCCCCTCAGACCGCGTTTCATGACACTCCTGGGTCGATGCGCTCGCTGAAGGCTGCTGATCGGCTTCAGTGAAGGCAGGTTATGTAAAGTCTTTCTCTTTATCTGCTGGCTCCAACCTGCTCCCTTCAGCCAGACGTGGACCCATGTGTGCATCCATTGACTTTTAGAAAGACCCTAGCAGCTGCAGCTAGCACTTGGCTGCAGCATGTGGTCAGCTCCTTGCCCCGTGAATAGTGAAATAGCAACTTTTAGATAGTTTGAAAAGAAACAGTCTAAAAACAGTGAAAAGTCCAGCTGGAGTTGGGTTTGACTATAAGCCGCATTAACAACCCGCTCAATTATTTAGACTGAATTTGCCGAGGTAACACTTTCTTTTCACTGCTGTAATTAATTTTTAAAAATCCACATTTGAGATTTTTATGAATAAATATTTCTTTTAAAGCAACAGCTCTCTCCGTCGCTCTGTTGTAGTAATTTAAGATCACTTTGCTGCAGGTTACAGAAGGCAATAAAAGCTTCAAAATGTTCAAAACTCCATCCCCACCGCCTGAGGAAGCAGGCGCTGATGGTGCCCAGATGGCTGAGTTATGATCCCCTCGTCTCAGGGAAACATCCCGGCTCTCTGACAGTGGGCCGTTACCCAAGAAAACACTGGAATACCTTGTTAAAGCCGTGCCTCCTTTGAGCAAATGGCTTTGACAGCCTGCTCTCTGTGCCCACCTTAGCACGTACGTGCAAGCAGTCCCTTATGTGGTGTAACAGGATGAGCTCCAGCTCCCTGATCTCAGAGATAGAGAGATACTGGCGGATAACTGCTGGCATCCTCTGTCCTCCATGGCTCAGAGCCAGCTGAGTCGAGAGCGAAGGCAAAATGAAGACACTTGCCTTTAAATGTAGCAGCTGCAGTGGGCCGAGCCGTTCAGGTGTAGAACTGACATAGTACCTCAGATCTGCTTAACTTTACAGGTTAAGATCTTCTATTTTGTCCTCCATACAGTGTGTGACAGAAACTTGGGATTTCAGGAAAGAGTAAGAAATCTCAAACATATACAGGAGTTGTTTATTTTTTTCTTACAGAAAGAGAATATACAAGTTAATAGTTGATATATAAATTTAAAAAAATCATGACAGAATAAGAGCAAAAATCAAAAGCGTGTGTATCAATCAACCTGTGGAGTGACTGTGTGGAACAGTACAGCTAAAGAACTGAAGCAAAGTTCTGTAGGCAATATTAAATTAGAGGGTATACATTTTGTTAAATATGTTCAATTAAAAGGCACAAGAAATATTTCTAAGTAGTTATATGGAAAATGGATATAGACTGTCAGGAAAATAATGGAACAACAATAATGGAACAAAAACACAGTTTTTTGTGTGTATGTATTTAATTTGTATGTATTTGGGTATCTAAGTATGTATATGTATATAAAGAAAGACGAAAAATGAAGAGATAAAAAAAGCCACCTAATAATTTTTATTTTTATTTTTACAGTGCAAATAGAGAGAAATATTCCAGTCATGTTTTCAAAATAGCATCCCATAACCAAACGATAATAGTGTCAATAGACCCCTGACACTTTCTGTCAAACTGAACACCAAATTATTCTTGAGAAATTTGCCTATTTGTGGATTTTTTTCTAAAATATCTGAAAGAAAATGCAGTTTGGAAAGCTGAAATACTGGCGCAAAGATGTCTGACATGCTACAGGCTAGTTTCATGACAGTAAAGGTGAACATTGTTCTGGTGATTTGATGAAAGGTCTGTGGCTTGTTAAATCAACGCACAGCTCAGCCAGCTCTTCCATTGTGGTACAACGCTCCCCCTCCATGTCGTTCAAGACCATGTTGACGATGAATGCTGGGTCTCTAGTCTGGTGGAAACAGAGCACCAAACTTTGAAGGCACAGAACCAGTTCAGGAACAAGAGTTCCCTGAGTTGAAAATGCTTGAATGAATCTGGGTAACAGCATAAGTCAGTCCTTTCCCTTTAAATAACGTCTACTTTAGTCTTACAGCTCCGTCTCACTCAATGTGTCGCGGTGTCACAATCACCAGCTGATGGTTGACTCAGTTTGTCATTCCACTATTTACTGCACAGCATGACACACAATCACTCTGCTCCAAATCTGCTGCTTGCTTACCTGCCAAAATGTTTTCTGTTTTGATCTGTGTCTCTGCTTGTGCTGGAGCTTTTGGAGAGAAGTTGAGAGGTTGGTGCTGTCAGTTTGATTTGAGTTTTACTTGATAAAGGAGCACAAGTGAAAAAATAAAATAAAATAAAAATGTCACTGCAATGTATTGTACG